GTTACATTGTGAAAAGGAGGATTCTGTATGTTAAGGGCGTATGTGTAGGGCAAATGCAGCATGCTTTCAGGTGCATGCAGCTTGCATTTGAGGTGCCTCTGAGTTCCTTGAGAGCTGCATCTGAGCCATTTTTGTATTCCTCATTGGCTGGTATGGTAAGAAGTTCTGGCACAAATAAATGCCCATGTACACAAGTCCTTAAAGAGGGCCTTCAGTTAGATGCATGAAAATTATAGTCAGTAGCTACAAAAACTGGAGCTTCTAACTTTTAATAAACAGATACTCACCTGCCAAAGGATCCAGCGCTTTCCTCACCCAAGCCAGTTTCTTCACAGGTCTTTGCTTTCCAGCACTGACATGTTAACTGTGGGCAGCCAGCTGTGACTCCTTGTGGCTTCATAGCTGGCTGCCCACTGCATATGTGCGAGCCACGCTGCGCTTTGTGCATGGTCCGACAGCTTTCTGGGACCTGCGACATGCCCCAGAAGGTTGCTGGTGAGCTGGAGGAGAAGGTAATGAGAAGTTCAACTTTAAAAAGGAGCTTCAGGAAAGTTTTCAGAAATTAAAAGTCAGCAGCTACAAAAACTGTAGCTGCTGACTTTTAATAAACAGACACTCACCAGAGGTGGTTCATCATGTTACTCTGGGAATCCTTAAAATAACTTTCTGGTCTCAGGTAACCCGTTCTAATATTATATACAGTATCTACAGCTGGTGGTACATAGGATAGTACAAAAGAGCAATAACAATAAACAAATAAAGGCACGTGCACTCGGTTTAAGTTTGATGGTCAACATTTTTTGGCCTCAGTGCTTATGTAGGGGTTAGCCTCAAATTCTTCAACACAAAATAACCAAATCAAATCCAAGGCATAGAGCCTTATAGACACATATGCCACCAAATAACCAATTCCAGAAAATCCAATAATGATGCCCACCCAGTTTAGACTGGATAACTAACCCCTACTAAACAAAACATTGTGAAATATAGAATATGGGAGGTTTAGTGTGTGGTAGCTATGCTCCTGTCCTCTTCAGCAGTGCTGGTTGAGCTGGAAAAAATGTTTTTTTTTTTATAAGGCAGTGGTGTCCTAAGCCCACCATAAGGCAGCAATAGTCTGCTGTTACCAGGATGTTTTATGTAGCAACCTGTAAGATGAAAAGAAGAGGGGGGGGAGAGAAAAGAGATTTAGCTCCCTTTACGCCATCTCATGGAATCCCCACTAAGCTCTGGGGACCCAATCATTAGTGTGATGCCCTCCCTCTTAGATTGTAAGCTCTAGCGATCAGGGCCCTCAACTTCCTCTTGTACCAAATTGTATCGTAACTGTAAAGTCTGCCATCATTTTGTAAATTGCTGCGCAAGCTGCTGGCGCTGAATGAATCTTGTATAATAATAATGATGATGATCCATGGGAAGACTAGTCCTTACATTTGTGGTCAGTTCGATGAATCCTCCAATGTACAGATAGCTACAGAGATCATTGCTGACAATGAACTTATTTGAGAGACAGAAATTGCTCCTTTCTAAAGGAACCCCTGGCAACCTCTGGAAGAACCCTAGGGTTGCACAGAATCCTGGTTGAGAAAAGCTGGATTGGAGTATTTGTGGGTAACACATGACAGATGCTGTCAGTTGGATTTGTTCCCAGTTGACTGTGTGTCTAATAAACATTGATGTCTTTATTGCATAAACTGCATGTGAGATGTGTTCAGATGTGGGAGCTTTTTAGGACTTCTGTCCACTGCGTGATATATTAAAAAATAAACTGTATACGCCATCATTGGTGAGTGCTTGGTGAGCACAGACAGTGGGTGTTGTGTGTCTCATTTTTAGACTGCTGAGTGGGTGGGGGGGAGGGGTGGGGGATGGCGTGAAATAGAGTCACAATGGATAGTGAAAAAAACGGAGGGGGGGGGGACAGGTTGCATAAGGCAAGTTTTAATCTTGTCATGAAAATGGCGGGGCGCTTATCTCCTCTTTTCTTTTATAAATTGAAGGATTTGGGATTTCTCGCCTTTGAAAACCAGACCTGCATCATTGGGAAGACATTTTCGGGCCTTGGGTAACTTCGAAAACGTTGTGTGTACTGGAATAAGTGGCATGTGAAGAGATGCTTCTTTCTTGGAAAAGATGTTATGCGGGGGAGGGGGTCGCAGGGTGGGGGGGACGGGGGGGTGTGGGGGGGGGGGGGGAGCTGAGGGGGGGTTGGTGGTGGGGCCAGGCCCTTTCTGGGATATGGGCCCTTGGGGGGGTGGGGGCGGGGGGGGGGTGCCCGTGAATATAGAGTCACAATGGATATGAAAAAAACTCTTGGCATAAGCCAAGTTTTAATCCCTTGTTCATGAAAATGGCTGCATATCTCCCTTTTCTTTTATAAATTGAAATTTGATTTCCTAGCCTTTGAAAACCAGACCTGCACATTGGGAAGACTTTTTCACCTTGGCTCAACTTCTGAAACGTTGTGTTTACTGGAATAAGTGCATGTGAAGAGTATGCTTCATTTCTTGGAAAAGATGTTATCTAGCATAATGCAGCCTTTTCTGGTGGCCCCACACTTTTGTTTTGGTTTTACTGCTATGTTTTCTCTGGGTTAAATAGAAATTATATTAACTGCCCACATTTAGCAAATGGCTCACTGGATCAAATTAAAGCCCGACTCTGGGCTGACTGCATTGTATGTGGAAGGGCAGGCTTACGACTGTAGCTGAGAATGGCTTAGAGAGGAGACTGAAGGGGATTTGTCAAGCAGATCCAGGGAGCCTGCTGGAATGGAGCAAGGAATCCCTTCTGCAACTTCCAGACTTAACAACCATGTGTGGGTTAGGAGTGGGAATCCCACTGCAAGGGTATTTTATTTTTGTTGTACCTGGAGTTGGGCTTGAAAGTAGGGATGTAGCATTTGCTCACAATATTTTCTTTACAAGGATTTAGTGCAGCAGTGTATCAAATTTAGTCCTCCTTGGAGGGCTGCCTTTAGTAGGGTTGTGGTTAATTTGGAAGTGAACCTGTTCCCAGACTATGCACACTAAATTATTTACATTTGAAGCCCTCATTTACCTACGTAGTGGCATACACTGTGGAGAAATTCATTTTTCAAAATTCACAGAAGAGGCACAGAAATTGTCTCTTTTTTTCTTTAGAGAGCAGATCTTGGCAAGCTGCCAGCCTATGTACACACAGCAGGTGTTTGTAAGAGGAAATGTAGTAAATCCAGTCTCTAGAGTAGTCATTCTTAATCAGGGTTCCTCCAGAAGTTGCTAGGGGTTCCTTGAGCCTTGGCTTATTGATGGTGCCTTCATAAGGTCTGGGCCAAGGTCACTGAGGAAGTCTTCTGAGGAAGTGACATGACATAACGAGTAGGGTGCGCAATGACATCAAGCCGCAAAACTTGAATGTAAAAAGACATATTAAAGTGGAAAATAAAAAGGCCTTTAAAAAATATAAGAAGGGTCATTTTGGCATTCCAACACTACAAGGATCGCAATAAGAAGTGTAAGAATGCAATCAGGGCAGCTAAGATAGACCACGAGAGCCACATAGCAGAGGAGAGTAAAAAAAAAAAAATACCCCTAAATTTAAAAAATATATTAATAGTAAAAAAGCAAGGTTAGAATATATTGGCCTCAAAGGATTTTGAAGGGAAGTTGGTTACAAATGACAAGGAGAAGGCAATTGTGCTAAATGCATTCTTCTCCTCAGTTTTTACTGAGGAAAATGAGGGGTATAGTGATCAAGACTGTATCATTAGTAACCCATTACAGAGTGTAGCCTTGGCTAACAGAAGACAGTGTCCGAAAAAGACAAAATAAAAATCACCAGGGACAGATGGCTTACATCCAAGAGTCCTCAGTCAGGTTATAGCTACTGATACTTGTGCAAATGCTTACTGTTGGCATCTGTATTGGTATGGGTGCAACCCTAGTATTTACTCAAGAGATAAAACTATAATTCTACCATTTTTTTTTTAAATCCTTGCTTCGCCACAACTGGAGTATGCCATTCAATTTTTGTCAGCAGTCTTCAGGAAGGATGTGCTGCAGCTGGAGAGAGTCCAGAGAAGGGCAACAAGGTTAATAAGGGGAACGATTACAAACAATAATCTTATTGTCCCTGGAGAAGCGACACTTGAGAGGAGATATGATGGCAATATACATATATCATAATGGTGATTCTAGCATAAGCAATAAACTATTCAGTATAAGAATACACAGGGCTACTCAATGAAACTGAAGGGGAAGTGGTTTAACCTTAAACTGTGTGTGGGGGTGTTTCACTGTCAGGGTGGTAAGGATGTGGAACTCACTTCCACAATTGGTGGTGTCAGCGGGAAGTATTCATAGTTTCCAAAAACTCTTGGATGGGCATCTTAGCGAGCACAATATACAAGGATATGGGATATTATTTTTGACATGAACACACACCCACTCCGTTTGAACTGGGTGGACTTTATTCAGCCTTACCAACTATGTAATTATGTAAAATGCTTGTAAACCGTTACATATACCCACTGAAGTGTCTAGACTCAGATGATACATAGAGATGAAACAGATGACATAATTTACTTAAGTTACATTACTTACATAAGTTGTGCCCGTATATCTGCAGCCCACTCTTCTCTACAGCCTTCTAAAGCAAACAGATGAAAGGGTTTTTCTCATCTTCAGCAGGCAGGGGTGAGATCTGATGTCACACATTGCACATCATAGAGCAGGGAGCTAAGTGTAATCTGAGACTTGAGTGGAAAGAAAGGACACAGTCTCCACAGTCTCATAGGGAAATGTGCACAGCTGAGGCAGTCAACCACTTCATTGTCTAGTCTGGTCATAGGGGCACTTTAAAGGTCAACTTTACTAACATCTGTGTCCACCACATTAGCATCAGTGCCATGAACTGATGCTACGGGAAAATACATTTCAACAATACGAGATTTGGACTAACCTCGCTGACTGCAGCTGTCATGTATACATTATTTTTTTAAAAATCTCTTTAAAAGTAAGTGCTAGAAATGGGCCTAATGGGGTATATTTACTAAAATTGGAGAGTGCAAAATTTGGTGCAGCTCTGCACAGAAACCAATCAGCCAGTCCAGGTTTTATTGTCAAAGCCTAATTGAACAAGCTGAAATTGAAGCTGATTGGCTTCCATGCACAGCTGCACCAGATTGTGGGTGCACCAGTGTTAGTAAATCTCATTCATTGTCCCCTTGTCACACTTTCTTTGTCTTTCCATATATAAAACGCAGACCTATTTTTGTAGGAGGAATGGGGTAGGCTATGAATAGTAAATTCTGTGTAGATGGTTGTCTGGTTCTTTTATTTTACCAGACTATAAAATGATGCTTTTTTTAGCCTCTCTCAATAGTGAGAACTCTCTATTACCTTTTCTGTCTGAACAGCAAAATTCCACATTTCTGTGCTGGCCGGTCAGTGTACTTTTTTGTGCTAAAACTCTGTATAAAAAGTTAAAACAGAAGAGGCAAAGACAGGAAGGTGAAGAGCACAAATAAATGATGTTGGTTTGGACATTTGATAGGGTTGTATTTACCATTAGCTTTTTGCTGACATCAGATCTGTGTGCTATTTGGCAAGTAGATCTGGTGATATTTTCCAGCTTTTAAGCCAGTATGTGTTGAAATATTCAACTCATCGTCAGAAAGCAAATAGAAATAGCTTTCTTAAAAATGGGTAAAATTTATGGGAAGAAAACAAATTGGACTAAAATACATTAATTGGAGTGGTAGATAGAATGTCTTGTCTTAGGGAAAGATAGATTATTAAGTATAGAATTATTTTCGACATTTTTACTTGTTTTAAAATTGGTAGTAAACTATTTTTTATCTTGTACCTACAGGTGAGCTTACCATCAGGCTTACCTGTAGGTACAATGAATATCTCCTAAATTTATACTGTTTCGGAGGTATCCACATCGATAATAGCCAATGACATCACTAGCGCATGTGCAGTTACGCTCTCTATTCATGGCATACAGTGTGCTGTGAAATGCACCATGCTGTGGCTGGGATCCCATGTGCATGCGTAGTAGTGCCATCATCGTGACCCCGGCCATTCATGCACCCTGAGCCCGCGATCCTGGAAGGAAGACCAGGTGAAGATGGAAGTGCTGGTGAGCCGTGACAGCGCTACACTGGAGGGCCCCGTGTGTAGGTAAATCTGTCATAATGTGCTAGTATGTAGTGCATACTAGTACAGTATGACTTTAACCTGCACGGGGCCCAATTTTTTTTCAGTTTCTTTGATGGTGATGGTTTACTACCAACTCTGCACACAGCTCCTGCCAATGAATGATCCTTCTCTTTCCTCTTGGAGTCCCTCCCTCATTCCACCCGGATTTCCCCCTGTTGTTTGTTAACCTGTTTGTTTTTTATTAATGTACTTATTTTTTTGGCCAGTCAGGTAACATGCTGGATCCTATACCTCTTCAGTCTTCTCCTATGGGTACTGTACATACAAAGATTAGCACTGGCACCATAATGTCAGCACCAGTTTTTGCATCTGCATAGATATAATGTGAATTAGGGCATCAACAGGCGCAGGCCTATGATGCCCTGCAGTCACAGTACCTCCTTGGTCTTCTGGTTTAAGTGATGCTGGGTGTCATTGAACCTGGAATACAGAGAACATCCTACAGGAGGCATCTCCAGACTGGAGGTGATGTCTGCAGTCCTAGACTGGACCTTGCAGTTTAAGGTGCACTTTTTATATTTAAAACCTTTTTGGAGGTCTGTTCATATTTAAAAAATTTTTTACCTGGAGCTGGGCTTTAAGTGTGCTAATGTTTGAACTCAATCTGTGTGAAGTTTATTTGGAAATTGGACAGCAGTTTTATATGTCTATTATATTTAAGACATGGTAAGTGTTTATGAAGCACTGATTCCAAGAAGCCATCAATCCAGAAGGGAGCATTAGGTTTATGCTTTGTCACTTCTCTGGACCTATTTTTGTATTTATTAGACTCCTTTTGTGTTGGGATGGCCACTGCGGTGCTTCTGGTTGTGCCTGACGTCAGACGTAACCGGAAGTGCCGCGGTGGCCATTTTGGAGATTGGTGGAATCAAGCTGCTTGTACTTCAAACGCATGTAAGCGCAAAGCGTACTGCTGTCCTAGGAGTATTGGGAAGAGAACAAGCCCAATTCCTCTCCTAGGCGAAAACCTGTCAAATTTATATTAATTTCAAAGCGAAATACAGATTAGACAATAATCTGCATGTTAGTAGACTGTACCCAGTAGGTATTCAGAGGTATGAATACCTATATAAAATGGTTTCTGGATTAAAACCATGGTGACCTCCCAGCAGCCACCTCTTAAATTGGGTGATTGGTCAGATGGTCTCTGTCAGCACCCCCCTTGATGTACAGAAAAGGGCAATGCCAGGACGTTTTGACAGCTCTCGTTTAACATCAAACCAAGGAGCAACTGTCAAGTCGTGTGAGAGCCTACGTACGTACCGTTTTTCTTCCATCAACTGGACTCTGTTAAAACCAAGGACTTTGCAAGTATTTACCTTTTCCACCTTTGTCTTGCTGTTGCTTGTTCTCTTTGTTACTCTGTAATATCTTTGTTCTTGTAAATGTTTTATTTGCACCATTTTAACCTTTTCATTATTAAACCCCTTTTTGAAAAGTGTTAAAATTGTCTCTAAGGCTTTTAAAGCAAACTAAAAGAATCCCTGTCTCTTGAATAGTTGTTATTGCTAAGATTGTGAGTTTCCTCCTTCTCGCTAAAAAGGTGGTGGTGGCAGTTTTAAGGGTTAATCGCTCAATTAACTAAATCACACAATCGCACTCAGGCTGCTAGTACCTAGATTGTGGTCCCACGAGCTGGAAAGTGTTTGTGCAGGATGCAGCTGAGAGTGGCATTGTTGTCTAAGTGACATCGCACTGTGAGAATGGCTGGTCCTTTGTCATGAGTTGGTGAGAAGGGCAGGGGTCGGGCACGTGTTCGTCACAACCACCACTTAATTCTTTGGAGCCTCTGCTTAGAATATATATTACGTTTGGGGGTTCTAAGTAATTTTCTAGCAAAACAAATACTGATTTTTAAATGTAAACAAAAAGTGTCAGAATAGACCTCGTCTTCAAGTGGTTAAGACGTAGTTGGATTTCAACAGGGAAGGAAAGGAAGAATCTGGTTCTTATTGAAGATTTAAATAAGATATAATATTCCAATAAATTATGGATTTTTTCTTAGGATGATGGAGTATATTTCTTCTGTATTTTTTTAAAATACTTATTTTCCAACAGCTGGCCAAGGCACTCTCTTATAAGGTTTTGTTGAATGGAACATTTTTATGAGCTGTCTGATGTATTGAATAAATCTGGTATGCAGAGCACATGGACTGTGCCGTGAAGATAAATGACAAGTCGTGTAATGACTACTATTGAGGAATCTGTGCTGGTGATGCATTATGCATACATAATAAATGGTAATATGTAGTGTTTAGCATTCCTCATTGCCATATTGATCATTCTGTATACAGCATTGTGTTGCTTCCGCAATGTTTTAACAGTTATTGTGTCTTGGATGTCTGGCCTTTCCTAGATGGCAAGTAATGTTCCGAGGCTTGGGTCTGGTAATTAAAGTGGGATTATTACAGAGTATGTCCTGTTGTGCACATCTGTATGTACAATGAGCAACATCATTTATATTCAGCAGGGGTAGTCAGTAAAATTATGGCTTACAGTTTGAGTAAAACATGAACTACTGGGGGAAGTGATCTCTTTTTTTTTTTTAGTTTGGATAGCGTAGGAGAGGGTTAGACCCTCTTTAAAGTTTTTATTACGGTCTCTGTCCTTGTGGAGATTTACCCCCGCAATTTGTAATTGTGACTATTGTCACCAAGAATTAAAGTGAGGGGGGAATGTTACATTTTACATGTTACATTTTTTATAACAAGAGGTAAATGAAAATCTTTCAGTGGGGACAACTGTTACGGATGGAACTCCCCTTAGATTTCGTCTATCTTCCTGCATCTCTGAGATAGGAAATGAGGAGAAATCTTCCCATATCGACATAACAAAAAAAAAAAAAAAAACTTTAATATTTCCTATTCTAGCCAAACATAAACAAATTTTTTGGCTTTGCATGCACCTTAATGCTTCTATGTAGAGGAGTCTTCTAGGGAATCCAAATCCAATCTAAAGAGACATTTTTGAAAAGATTTTTAGATTTTTTTTTGTCCCCTTCTAAAACATAAATTATAATTCACTATTTTTGGAAATACAGAGTTGTAAGGCCAATTTGAAGTAGAATGAGATTGGATAATCAAAATGTATTTTGCAAGTCTGGACAGGTCTCAAGAACCAGTTAGCCAGAATCCAAAAAATAATTACAGCTGGAGCCCAGCTTTCTTGAGCGCTATGTACTTTAAGTTCAAGTACATGTTCCCTGTCTCATAAAAACATGTTTTGTAAGGCCCCTTTCATACTGACGGTCTGATCGGGTCCTCCTGTCAGTTTTTTAGGTGGACTTGATTGGACCATCCATAGCTCTCTCATCCAATCCGATCATGTATGCTAAAAACAGACAAATGTGAATCCGTTCTCTATCTGTCTGGTGAATCAGATGAGAGTCTGATGGAATCAAACAGGCGGTCTGTTTCCATAGAAAACAGCAGGCTTTGTCTGTGTCCACTCTGCATAGTGGAGCAGACACGGACCTGTCATCCATGGGGTCAGCTGAGAGATCCCCACTGAGCAGGCAGATCCACTTGATGGAGTCCGTCCCATCTGAAAGGGGTCTAAATTGAGATGGTTAGATCCATAATTGTACTTGAATCTGTCCAGCCTTGCTCTTAGGAAAAAAATTTGTTATTATCCCCTATTATTCAAGAGTAGTAGCATATAATTACAGATAACGATATGCTGCTCGATGATCTACAATTATGCAACCTATCCAAATACATAGTATCTTAATTTTCTGTATATATAGATGTCTAACAGGTGATTTATAAGACCTTTGTGTATAGGATAAGCGAAGCTAGGAGATTTTGTTTTATTTAGGCAACCAGTAGACAGGAGATGATAATATAATCAGTCAGATCAAGAAACAATCTCAGATTTGTAGGTTCTAATGGTTGTAGTTCTTTCCTGATGCTTGCTTTCTGATCTGATCCAATGCTTTTCCCT